GATTTTACGAAATAACAAAAACAAAAGAAATTATTTGCGACACGTAACCAGTTGCGCACGCAGAGAGATGAGAATTTCAGTCTATCCTGTTGGCAAACTGGGCTTTGTAGCCGACGACTGGGCTTATTAGCCAGATTTGCGACGCGTAACCAGTTGCGCACGCAGAGAGATGAGAATTTCACTCTATCCTGTTGGCAAACTGGGCTTTGTAGCCGGAGACTGGGCTTATTAGCCGGCGGATTTTGCTATGTAAAATTCCGTCTCAAGCGGCTGGGCTTATTAATACGCGGCTGGGCTTATTACGCAGCTGGGCTTATTAGCCGTGGGCTTAATAACCGGCGACTACTGTAGTCACAAAAATGTTAGTTTGAAGGAGCAATCGTGTGTAAAATATACTTTGGGAATAGGAACTGGGCCGATTGTGATGCCAAATGACACGAGCCGTCGAGACAGAACAAAAGCAAACAAGAGCAGACAGTGGAAAAACTCCTTGGTTGTGATTCGGAATCCATGCAAGTTTGAATGGGATTTGCGATATCTTTAGGAGAAAAGAACGTCGCTGGTTGGAGAAAATAAACGCAGGATAAAGCGGTCATGCCAATGAAGGTGTGTGAGTGTTCGAAGCACTCCAAATATGGGGCTAACTTTCACCACCACATAACCGTACGACTAGCTGCTGGTTCAACCATTGGGGAGGTGAGACAGGGCACCCTATTTCGGGTATCATCAATGCGTCAGGGTCGAAACGGTTAAGGGACCGTAGAGATCACGGCGATCATCACCGAATTGTGGAAAAGTCGGCCAGATACTCTTTTGCTGACCGCAGAGTCCACCGACAAGGTGCGAAAACAGAAGAACGCACCGCGATCGTCTACAGTCCGTTGCGGGTCGACTCAAGGGAGAACGTTAAGGGGTCAAGTCAAATAAAATTTATTAAGGGAAATAAAGGCAAACGCCTTTGAATTCTCCTTATTGGTACAGAGTAGTTAAGAAATGCATCAGCACAACGGAAAATTGCAAAGAGGGTCGTCCGCTTACATAATTGTAGGCGACTACTCACTTGTTCCAAGTAATATAATCACATAGGGTGATGTCAGTTAACACGAGTCAGCAGGTGTAACTGAGCAAAAAGAGCAGACAGTGAAAAAACTCCTAAGGCATGGCTCAGGATTCAAAAACGCAATGTCATTTGTGGTTTTTTAGGAAATAAAACTGTCGTTCGTGGGAAAAAAACATGCGAAAGGTAGGACCGGCATGCTGTGAATGTTGGCGGCAAGCCAGGGAGCCCATCGAGATTACTATCTTTATCCGAAGGGTCGTGTTGACTATGGCCACAAGGTGCGGTAGATGCGATCGCTGACGCAATCGTCGCAGTTTGCATAAGTTTACTTCGGGAGTGGTACGTAAGCTTATTGGCACTGCCACATGAAAAGAGCCATCGAGATGGAACAAAAGCAAAAAAGAACGGACGGTAAGAAAAACCCCGTGGACGTTTCTTCGGAAACTGTAGAAGTTTGACTGGGGTCTGCGAACTTTTAGGAGAAAAAAACCGTCGCTCATGGGAGGAAAATATTCACAAGGTAAGGCTGTCATGTCAATGAGAACATATGAAGGTTTGAACGATCCTCGCCGTTTGTTTAGAGTCATGTTATCGTCAGGAACACCCTCTATCCCGGGGTTTCTATTGCACCTACCTGTAATGCTGGTACACGCCTGATGCATAAAAACCTTCCTTTTAAATAGGTTTTGATTTTAGTTGCCTGTTTATCTCTTCGTCACCTTAGTCTACCTGAATGCATATTGTTATTCCAAAAGATGGATTGCTATGGGATAGTATCTCATTCACTGTTTTCAAAGATTATCATGTTAAAATAAAATTGTCCGTAAAAGCTTTGATTATTATCCCTCATCCCCTAGGCAGCCTAG